AAATTTGAAGAGAACCGGATGCCTATTTCGGATTTTATAATCGTTTTTGGTTATTCAAAACTTTGACCCTTTATGGGGGAGGTACCAGAAGGAATGCCATCTGCCATCTTTACAATAGATCTTGTGTTGCTGAAAATATTGAGATGTACCGAGTCTGAATGGAATCGGATGTTAATTTCGTTTATTTTTGAGCTTCATGAATATTCAAAATTTTGACCCTTTGTTGGGGAGGTACCAGAAGGGTTAGACCGATTTATCCCAACTTCACACCAGACCTTGAGTTAATAAAAATATTGTGATGTGTGTAATTTGAAGAGAACCGAATGCCTATTTCGGATTTTATAATCGTTTTTGGTTATTCAAAACTTTGACCCTTTTTGGGGGAGGTATCAGAAGGAATAGTCCGATCTCTACCATCTTTACAACAGATCTTTTGTTGGTGAAAATATTGAGTTATGCCAAGTCTGAATGGAATCAGATGTTAATTTCGTGTTTTCTGAGCTTTATGGATATTCAAAATTTTGACCCATTGTGGGGGAAGTACCAGAAGGAGTAGACCGATATTGCCCATCTTCACACCAGACCTTGATTTAGTAAAAATATTGTGATGTGGGAATTTGAAAACAATCGGACATCACTTTTTATAAGTGTTATAATTATTCAAAATTTTGACCCTATGTGGGAGAGGTACTTGATGGAGTGGACCGATATTGTTCATTTTCGCACCTGACCCAGCATTGATGGAAATAAGATGATTCGCAAAGTTGAAGCAAAATCGGATAATACTTTCTCTTTCTGTGCGCTAAATTATTTTCTTTGAAAATGTTGACATTTTGTGTGGGAAGTGCTAGAAGGAGTGGACCGATATTGCCCATCTCCAAACTCAATCTAAGTTTGATAATAATATTATGATGCACCAAGTTTGCAACAAATCGGATACTCCCTTCGAGAGTTATTTTGTGCAGCAGCCAAACAGACGGACGGATATCGCTATAACGACTCCAAATGTCCTGAAACGGATTTAGACTAAATAAACCTAGGATCTAAAACCGTTTTTCGATGAGGCACCTTTTGGCCGTATCAAATGATATATAGCCTCTGTAGCCCAATGGCTGAGGGTATAAAAACGCCTCAGACTGTAAGAAAAAATTTTCCCTCCAAAAAATTAGAGCAGGCTTTGAGACCAATTTTTTATTGGCATATCCTCTGATCCTGAGACAATATTTTTACTATCAAAAAATTATGATTTGCCATGGAAATTTTCAACCAAGCCTGGTTGAATCGGAGCTCCTGCAGGAAATCTGTTATTTATGGATTTAGGTCATACAAAAAAATTTTGATGAATCATTTTTCTATCAGGAAATCTTCTGTTCCGCCTGGCAGCACAAGATTCCATGTAGCGTGGCTTAATAAGATTTCCTAAAAAATTCTGAAATTCAGCAAGTTTTAATAGGTTTATTATAGGAAATAATCTAATCAGACCGTTCGGATATGATTTCCAATTGGAAATATTATTCTCCGCCTGACTTAAACTGATTTTACATCATTTCATATTCAGCCCTGGATGAAAAAATCTCCCCACAAAAATCGTCCTCTCAGCGTGGCTGAATAAAATTTGCCTCAGCGAATCTTCAATTCATCTGGGATCAATTTTGCCATAGAAAAAACCACCTCCTCAAAACATTTTACTTAAAGGCATTTCCACAATTTTTGGTCGACCACTGTCAACAGCATCGTCCATGGCGAAATAAGTGCTGTTTTTTTTTTTTTTGGAAATGCCCACCTCTCTCTCTCCCCTTTGCATTTAGCCACTAATGAAATAAACCATTGCCTGGCCTTTTTTCTCAAAACAAAAAGCCAAAAGGATTCGCAATTGTATCTTTAATTTAGAGCACATCCTGCCAGGCAGGCATGGCCCTGGGAAGAATGACGACCACTTGAACGGAATGTAAGCACGTTTTTGCGGTTAGACCAAATAGCTGAACAAAACTGGGAAAAACAAACGAAACCAACAAAATAACAACTAAGAACAACATCCGTTTCCGTTCAATGGCAACGGTAACAGACAATAACAACAACAACAGCAACAACAAAATAAAACCAATGGTTAAGTTAAAAAAGGGAGTCCCCTTAACCAGGCTACTACAATGGCAATGTAAAAGGCTACAAGTACCCCCCTCCCCACCAACCTAAATTCATTTTGGAATAAAGTACTTGGCACTGGTGGCAACCAATCTCCAATCATCCTCTCCATGTTTTCCATTCCCAAACCCAAATTAAATTTAATCAAGCCACAAATTCTTCAGCTATGCCCTGCTCTTCTTCAATTGCTTTCTTTAGATTATTGTTATGCACAATTGCATCAAAAATCCATTTGTTAACGCTCCATGGAATGCATTCAATGGCAGGAATTTTCCCCAGACCTTTAGGATACCTTTAAACGTGGAAGGATATTTGGCCAAGTCATGGATCTAGCCTGGCATGGCGAGGGAGAAAGGAACCACCACAATAACCATTAATTTACCAAACGAAGCCAGGCAACCTGCATGTGAATGGTATCCTGAAAATGCTTGGGCGCCATCCACACACCCAAAGACACACACACATTGGGATAAATGTATATGCGGTAAACACCAGTCGTGTAAACTCAGTCTTTCAAACTTACCGACAGCATGATGTTATCCGGTATTTTCCTATGGCCTAAATCCAAATTCGCGGACATGTATCTCAACAGACCTCATGTACACTCACTCACATATGCATATGTAGACGTCTGTGTGAATTGCAAATGTCAACAGAATTACATTAATTTCACGTTACATTATATTAGGGGATACATATTTCCCACACATCAGTATTGGCTCAATGCTCTAAACCCGAATAATGTGGAGCAAAATGGGAAACTCAGGAGACTTTTAAAAATTAGAACCTGAAAATAGTTTTTTTTACTAAAAAGAAATAAACCGGGTTTAGATTTTTTCTAAAAAACAAATCATATTCGTGATCTGAGGTCAGTTTTTTCCAAAGAAAAGTGCATCCTCGGGGGCTAAGGTTAGTTTTATAGGACAAAAAAGTCAATCTCAGCTCCTGAGGTCAACTTTTTCTATAGCGGAAAATGTATCGTCAGGAACTGAGGTTAGTTTTTTTCTACAGAAAAAAAATTCATCCTCAGAAACTGGGGTTAGTTTTTTTATAGAAAAAAGAAATCATCCTCAGGAATTGAGATTAATTTTTTCTATATAAAAAAACCATCCTCAAAGTTAGTTTTTTTATGGAAACTTAGTTTTTTTCATTAATATAATATTATTATTGATTTTTGAAAAAAAAAATGTCTGCTTTGGGTGGAAATTTATTGGGCGCCATTTTGAAGTTAATTAAAGAAATTCATTTAAGGGCTCGAGGACCAATTTTCTATAGAAAATGCCTCAAATGACAACAAAAAATTTTTATTTTAAGATTTTTTATTCAGAAATACATAACCCCGACTCTATGGGAAAAAATTACCTCATGTTCAAAAAACAATTTCTCATCAGTTGGAAAAAGTTCCCTACCTGCATTAACATTGGGCGCCACATTGGGGTAACTTTTTTTATTAAAAATCCCTGCACAAAATCCCTGTGGATTCCTTTTTATACCCAGTGACCGAAAAAAGGCTCATGAGCTGAACATAGCGCAATATTTCATTGGGCAAATATTGAGAAATGAGCTCGGGATAAAGCCAATGAAATTCCAAAAAGTGCAAGAACTTACACCGCACCGGAAAGAAAATAGACCCAAAAGAGCTAAAGAGTTGCATCGCTTGGGAGAAAGTGGTGAACTGCCGAATTTGGTTTTCTCCGATGGGAAAACATTCGTTGTGCAGCAGAAGTCCAGTTTGTAAACAAACAAAATGATCCTCAAGCAAGCGCTTCGCAGAGAATGAGCCAAAATACTGCAGAGCAACATTCAGGCAGCATGTGACGGTTTCATTGGCCGTTTGAAGACCATAATTCGTACCAAAGATGACCAATGCGGACAAATCTAAACTTATTCTAGAATTTGATGCTATTTCCGACCTTTTTTCTTTCATTCAATAATATTTAACATTTAAAAAAGCTGTAAGTTCGGCCGGGCCGAACTTTTAATGCTCTCCACCATTTGGTACAAACTTGGCAATTTCCAAAAAAAGAAATAAAATCCGTTAAAAATTCTCTTAAAATCTTAAAAATACCGAATGCTTATACGACGACGTGGACCTGCACAGGCAACTTTTGTCATAAGTTATTACAATATTTAAATGCGAAACTTGAAGAAAAATCTGTTTATAATGTAGCTAAAATCATCAAAATTCCGAATATGGGGGTACCGTTAAATGGGGGCTATATGAAAACGTGGACCTACGTGACCCATTTACGAACTTAACCTGCCTACTGGCAAAATATACATGTGTGCAATTTTAGCCTTCTATCACAATTTGTTCGAAGGATAGTGTGATTACAACAGACAGACAGAATTAGAATTTTACGCTGGTCAAGAATATATGTACTTTGTTGGGTCTGACATGAGTATTTCGAGAAGTTACAAACGGAATGACAAAATTAATATACCCTCCATAGTATGGTGGAGGGTATAACAATGTAAAAATTATGTCGTTTGACTTTTTTACAGTTTTTTTTTATCTCACCCTGAATATGTATGGTAGAGGGTATAATTCTCAGGGAATGTTGAACGTTTTTATCTTGAAAAAAATGTCCAGGAATATTGGGTTCCCTTTTTTCTATAAAAAACAGACCTTGAGGGTCTGAGTTCTTTTTCATCTATTTAAAAAATGAATCCTTAGAATTTGAAGATTATTTGCATAGAAAAATAATTCCTCCGATCCCGATGTCTTTTTATAGAAAACTGTCCAATTAATTTGATTTTTTTTTTATATTTTATTTGTACTCAGAACCCCAGGAACTTTCCGACTATAAATCTACCCTTGCCCCCGAAAAAATCCAATAAAAATCTTTTCTTCCACCTTCATCCCTTTTCTCTTCCTTTTTATTATTATTCCTCACATATACAATGACAAATAATTTTCTTTTTCGATTTTCATTTTGTAGATACGTTGCGGCAATGTCTGGACCGCTGCCATTGTCCCACCATGATCATGATAGAAATCACAATATCGAACCCTCGCGTAATCGGAAAATTCTCGACGCAATCGCAAACGTTGTAACTCGGTGGCGGAACATTTTTTCAAATCATGTTCGATTTTATGCATACAGGGGCGACATAGATCCAATTCTGTATTGAAATCATGCCAGTAATCTCCCTGCGGTATTTGCTCACATTTATGGCATTTAGCCACATTCAGGGGGCTACAGATTACCCCAATAGCGGGGAGTATCTTTCGGCGGCTGCCAAATGCTGAGGAAATGCGTAGTTTTGGACGTTCAACGTGATGGGGATATGTTGAGGGACTACAAAGATAGATAAAGAGAGAGAAAAAGATTAAGAGAGAGTAATTAGTTGAGCTTTAAGAGCTAAGTTATAGAAGAGCGGAATTCAAGTTTAGAAATTTCTCTCTTTTTAAATGAAAAGAAGTAATTCCCGTTTACTTTATGGTATTTGAACAATTTCAAATATAATATTATTAACTGAAAAGAAATAATTCTCATTTACCTTAATTGCAATAATATTATAAAATAAAGGGAAATAATTCTCCTTCAGTTTGTATCAAATTTCCTAAATTACCCCGGTGTTAAAAACCTTTCTTTATCCTTCCTCGCCGCTCCAATATTAAACGGTTTGGCTGCATTCCTTAAGGGTTTCCTTGTTTCCACATCATAGCTGCCCACACATGGCATATTGGCATTTGAGGGACCCAATAGCCTTGGAGCCTTACTGGCAAAGGCCGAATAACCTAATTTTGAAGGCCACTAAAATTCACAAACTTAAAATTTACATTAAAATGTATTTAAAAATATGGGCCCACCTTAATTTCCAATAAATTCCTCTCATCAACTCTTGTTGCTGGTCCAGGACTCAGGAAAACATCGCCCTGATGTTGGCGCATAAATGATGTTAAACATGGCCCTCGCAGCGGCAGGGTTACACGTTCCAAACTCGAGCCGAAAGCCACTTTTGGAATTTCCGGTGGATTGACAACATAAACGAAACCTGGAAATTGAAATGGGAGACGGAGAATTCAGATATACTTATTTTTATAAACCTAACCTTAAAATGTTTAAGGTTTTGTTAGAAAATCCTAGTTGGCAACTCTAATTCTCATTGAGGACACAAACCACAGTTTAGACGATGAACGTAAATCGAAAAGTCCTACAATTTCAAACAATAACAAGTTCTTATTTGTTCCAATTGGAACACTGATTCTACTGAAATAATTATCTTTTAGAGAACATCTGTATACCAATTGGAACCAAAGGAAATTTTTCCAACTACGAAAATTTGAGAAAATAATTGAAGAAAATTTAGCTCTAGAAGAAAATGAACCCTGTGTTAAGGACAAATGGGTTCCGAAAAAAAACTCAATTGGTTTCCAATTTTGAATGTGAAAATGTATTGGGCGCCATCGGGACCATTGGTGATTGAGAAATCTATTTCAGGTCCTAGAACTAATTTTTCTCCTATAGAAAAAAGTCACTTCCCCACCTGAGAACACATTTTTTCTATAAAAACTTATTTAAAAAATTGGTTTAGGCCATTGGTAAGGGATAAGGGATTTGTATTGGGCGCCATTTTGAAAGTATTTGATTAATTTATTCAGGTTCTTGGGGCAATTTTCCTTTTTTTACAAAAATCGACAGCCATCAGACTCAGGCCCTCAGGACATCTCTAGGAATTAGCCCAATATTGAAAGTTTTTTTTAAAAACCTGATTTGGTTCAAAATGTATTGGGCGCCATTTTTAAGGTAATTGAAGAAATTAATCTTAGACCCTGCAGACAGTTTTTTGTATATAAAGAGTCATTAAGACATGTTTCTTGTACAGAAATCAATTGACCTCAGTCCCTGGGAAGATCAGAAAAAAGTGGCAACTGGCCCTGAGAAACTCTCTCTAGGAGAAAGTCCTGCTGACAACCAAAAATGTATTGGGCGCCATTTTAAAGGTAATTAAAGAAATTGATCTCAGACCTTGCGTTAAAAGCCTTGGCGAAAATTTTTTGTAGAAAAAAACTAACCTCCGATCCTCAGAAAATCAGGAAAAAATTGTTATCTAGTTATTGTATAAAATTAATTTGGATCAAACAATGTATTGGGCGCCACTTTGAATGTAATTGAAGAAATTTATTGGCTCTAAGCACCATTTCCCTAGAGAAGACTGTAAAGCTGATTTTTTATAGAAAACAGGCGATCTCATGTCTGGGGAAGATTTCTTCTGTAGAAAAATGTAATCTTTGAGAAATGTCCTCAGATTGATCTGAGAACATTAAAAAGCAAAGTTTTAAAAAAATTCGACATTTGACTTGGGGAACGGTTATTTTGTAGAAAATATGTACCTAAGACTTCGGCACACATCCTATCTACAGAAAACTGGTGGCCTGAGGCTTTAAAGGAACATTTTTCTGTGAAATAAGTAATAATGGCCCTCGAGGGCAATTTTCTTCAAACAAAAAAAAAAGATATCTAGCCCTGCTCACAGATTTTTTACTCAAGAAAATGTGACCTTTGTTCTTGGGATTAAATATTGAAAAAGGGATGTGAAGCCCTAAGCAGATTTTTGTATATTTATTTATATATATATTTTTTTACAAGTCTCCCAAGGCTTCTAGAACAACTTTTTATCTTTAAAAGAAGTGATCTCATAGCAAAGAAATGGTTTACCTCAAGTCCTGAGGGCAGTTAACCTTGAGATTTTGTACAAAAAATTGGACCTCAGGGACTTTTAAGAATTATTATTCTTTTTTTTTATGTGAAAAATTTTTTACAGACGAAAATGACTTCAGGCTCTTAGAACAATTTTTTTTATTTAAGTTTTTTTTTTTTTTTTTTTTTTTTTGGCTGAGGCTCTTCATGGAAAAAACATGAACTAATAATTTTTCTTGGTTGCAATGTCCATTCCATTCCATCCATACATTGGGCGCCATTTTTCAGTTGGTTATAGTTTTTTCTATTGGAAAAAATCTGTAGAATGAAGTGAACATTTTATAACTTGAAAAATGGCGCCCAATGTATGTAACAGAAGATCAACATAATTTTATGTTAAAAAGGTTTATTATTTAATAAAACGGATCTACTCGGGTAGTATAGTACCAAAAAAAGTTGTCGAGGACCCGAATCGAAGTATTTTTTTAGAAAAGTTTCCATTTTTTGTAAATACCTCTTTGCTTGGCCCGATTTCTTATCAATTGGCTCTCTTTGCGTTGAGCCCTCAATTTAATTCTCTCCTCCTGGGTTAATTTCTTTAAAAACATATTTTTATTGTTTCACTTTCACTATCTTTTCTTATCGCGTCGGATGTGGTGCCTTAAACTTATTGCAAAGAACTGAAATGAAGGTTATGGTAACGTTGGGCGCCAAGCTACTACTACTACTACCATGACCTAAACCTAAATGGATTTTCAATAGAAATAGAAATCAAACGCACGCGGAATTTTGTATTGAGGAAGCTAATGGTTGTTTAATTGGCCTTTCTCCACACACACACACGAACACACACACCCACATACACCGATGGCAAATATTAGAATTTACGCCAGCAATGGCATATCACGCACTAACTAACAGGAATCAATCACGATATTGCACGCATTCTATAATGGCGATATTCCAATATTTTATGGTTTTTGTTGTTGTGATTTGAAACCAAGTTGAGAGGTAATCAATAAATATGCCATAAAATAACAACAAGGACACAGGTTTAACATTTACCTCCATTGCTACCGCGTATTTGAATTGCTAGGCAGGACTTCCAGAATATTTATTGTCCAAAAGCCCTTATTGATAATTCTGTATTTTTTATCAAATTTAAATTTTTGTTTCAATGACTTAAACATTTTTCGTTTTTTGTCCTCAACATGAAATCCGTAGATTTTTTTAAATTCCATGCCTGTCCTCCACTGCTTCAATTTCAAATCAGGATAATATTTTATTAAAATTCCTTGTTTGTTATGCTTCTTGTTTTCTACATACCTTCCATATTTGATTTAGCAGTCCTCTCTGTTTAACCAAATCTTTAATTTATTCTCTCCTTCTCCATTTGCAAAATGCAATTTTGGTCCGCAGTTACGTAGAAATTTTCTTCAATTTTTTTTTTCCTTTTTTTTGCGGAGCGAAATGACAATATTGGCGCTGTTATACGCTTTCTTTACGTTTTAAATTACAATTCCCACTGAAAATTCAACGACGAAGAGACGAGAAATACAAAAAAAAACACAACAACAAAACGTAAACAAGAAAACATTAATAAAATTTCAAAATAGTTTTTTATTTTGAAAACTTTTCGCTTTGCTCCTGTTTTGCATTTTGTGGGTATTGCCAGTGCAATGCAACGGCCAGTATGAATGGCAGAGGGGTAGTCACAAGGAGAGAATTTTTACTCTTAAGACAGGATAAAGTTGTCCTTAATTTTTATTGAAATCAAATTTTCAAATTTTTATACCCTATATTAACAACCCAATGAGAACACGACATGAAAAATCACAGCTGTCTTATTTTCAGACTTTTTGGGAAATACGTTTCAAAATTCCGAAAATAGGGCGCTATACCAAAAAACACCTCATGGGGTCTTGGGGATATTTCTAGGTGAGAAGATTTAACTTTGCTTCCATTATATGAAGGAGGGATTGAAAAATCGTTTTTAAGCAACGTAGCGGCATTTCTGTTTGCCGAAACCTCTGCCTGAAAATCCTGCACTTTTCCTGCTGGCTGACGATCAAAAAATTCAAAATATGCATCTGGTTCTCTTTATATTTCGCTCATCCCATTATTTCTAATAACACAAGATCCGCTGTGAAGAAGGGATATATCGGTCCACTCCTTCTGGTACCTCCCAAACAAATGATTAATTTTTTTTGAAATACAAAACGTCCATAAAACGCGAAATAAGTATTTGTTCTCTTCTTATTTTACACATCCAAACATTTTAGGTTGCCATACCCTTCTGGTTCCACACCCACAAGGGGCCACAATTTTCAATACTTATGTCTGCCATAACTTGCGAGCCAAGTTAGCTATTCTTTACAACTTGCTATAAACATGGAATTTATCGGAATTTATGATTTCGCATAAAATGGATAATAATATTTTTACCTGTATTAGATGAAGTCTGAAAATAGAATACTTCGTTCCACTATGCCTGAAAACTCACTCACAATTTCTAAAAATTATCACATATCTCATATAAAGTGAAGCAGATAGTCGATATTGTCCAAACCTGGCACGTCGCAATATTTATATCATATTTTTTTATATCCAATACGAAATGGACAATGTTGGCCCATTCCTTCGGAACCTACTCTATAGAGGGCCAACAATTTGAATAATCATAACAGAGGGCAAAATATATTTAAATAATCGAACATTCGCTGAGGGTATATATCTGTCGGCAAAACCGGTTGATACTTTATTTACTTGTTTTATTTAATGTCTTATTTTAAAAATAATATTATATAATATTTAAAAAAATGTTTTGACCAATTTTTAGGCTTAAAATTATAAAAATTTAAACCATAAAGACATTTTCAATTTCAAATCTGGCTTAAGAATTGTTGTACTCAGTTTCGCAAAAATCTGCTTGAGACATTGATGTCAAACCAACTAATCTCTTTCTTACTTAACGTATGTCAGCCGTTGCTTAAGAAGAATCCTTACTCTCCCAAAAATGACTTCTCTTGTCGTAAGGATGTAATTTAGCAAAAAGATGACCTTGATTATCTTACCATTCGATAACAAAATTTATTTTCTTCTTTCTGTCTCTCTCTCTATTACAGTACTGTTGTAGGTCAACAAATTGTATTCATCAGAAATATAAAGAGCAAATTCATTTTTTTTTTTTGCAAAGAGTGACCTTGAAGAGCTAACAATCTATAGAAGGCCAAAAACAATAGTTGTGCTCTAATTTAATTCTCCACTCTCTCATTTTATAATTTCATTTTTAACACCACTTTTTTCAATGCATTTTGTAAACGGTAAAAACTTTCCATTACATTTGTAATAACTCTCAAATACCACTTCCTCTCTCTTTCTCTAGCACTTTCTTACATTTCCTCTCTCGCTCTCACAAAAAAATTCCAGATTTCTAACACACAACAAAACCACCCTCATATTACCATACAATAATGCCTTGTGTGAAAGAGCAAGATATATGTATGCGCACTCCCTTAAGTTTTTGTAACGGAAATGAGCATAGATAATTCTAATGATCTTTGAGTGTATATGTGTGTGTGCGTGTATGTTTTGAGTAAAATAACAAACTAAAATTTTATGTATAGGTATTTTCTTGATACTCGTTTTAAAGGAAATGGGAGAACGAAAGATTCCTGATGTACAAGATTAACAACACGTGCATCTTTTGTTTTGTTTTCCATTTCTTGTCTGTTTTTCTTTCTCTGCCATTCTAGTTGTGTCTTTGCATCGAAATTTACTTAAAATCCTGTAACAATAGCAACTAATCGGTGACCTTGGTTTCTTTCTTTTGAACCGATGAAAATCCTACATCTTTGGTGGGTGTTCCAAGAGCAGATGTTACAAATTCTGGCACCCAACGCAAATGCTCAGGAAAATTTAAAGAAAATACCAGAGAGTAATGGCAAAAAATTATAGCTAATATTATTTTATTTAATGTTATTTGTATGTGAGGTGTAGGAAAAGGTACAGTTGACAATTAGTTTTAAAAGTGAAAATAATAAGAAAAAAAAATGACAATTGAATTGAAAAAGGTATTACAAATAAGGTGAAGGTTACACTAAATAAAATTAAGAGCCAGTTTATGTATTTCGGAAGAAAATGAACTCGAAAGAAATAGTAAATGACTGGTCTGTTCCAGAACTGCTAGAATGTAAACGTTTTTACTACGATACCCGATCTTCCCTTTATGATATCGAAAAAAATGCAAAACTAGTAGCTTCTTGCAGATTCTGGAACAGAGCAGATGTCAAAATCATTTGAAAAGTAAGAGGTCTAAAAACACTTGGATGGAAAAATAATCAAAAAATGCGTGGCGCCCAACGTAAAAAATGTACATTTTCTGGTAAAAGATGCCACAGTTATCTGAAAAACTTACAGGTCTTAAAATTAGAAAATTTGCGAAGGGATCCCACGTAACTAGACTTCTATATGATTACTGATTAGATGACACCCAGTCTAATAAAATTTTCAAAATGCCACAGTTGTCAAAAAAGCTAAAGGTCTAAAAATTAATCAATTTGTATATTTTTCTAGTCAATTATGCAGTAGTTGTCTAGAAAACCAAGGGATTTAAAAAAAATCAAGCAATTTGTGATATTATCCCACGAAGCTAGAGTTGTTTTTTGAAACACTGTTTGGGTGGCGCCCAACGTAAAAAATGTACACTTTTTTGAAATGTGGTATTTTTTTTTAAATAAAACATGCCACTGTCACTTTAAAAAGCTAAGGGATCCAATGAGAAATTAATTTGTAAATAACACGGTTCCTCTAACAAATTCCGCGAATTGGTAACTTGATGACGTTTCACTCTCAAGAGATATGAAACAAAATTCGCGTGGCGTCCAAATGTGTACTTTTCACAACGAACATGTACCAAAAAAGTCTGAAAATCTCTTATTTTTTTCGTACTGCTCCATGTTCGTTGGGCGCCACGCAAATATGTGGCAAAACATACCTAAAAAAATAGCATTCCAGGGATGTCCTTAGAGCACTCAACTACGTTGGCCAGAGAGTAGGCTGATATGCTTCAGGTTAAGGTTATTGCAGTAGCATTTATTGACGGTTTATATAGTGTGTTGAAAGTTCAATATTTTTATAGAAAGTAGACAGGGTAAGAATCCTCTCAAAATCTACAAAACAAATAAAAAAATTAAGTAAGAATGAAGCTTAACTTCTTGGTTTCTTATGGGAAACATGCTTCCATGATGTCCGAACAAGAATTCAGGTAACATTATTGAGAGGCGCCCAACGACCTAAATTTTAATGTTTTTATGAAAGAAATACGAAATAAAATCAGTTATTATACCCCTAATTTGTAGAGCCTTACATAACAAATACATTTATTATGAGGAATTTGTGAGAATTAACAAATATGTGAGAGGAATAATCTCCTTTGAATCGATTTCTACCAAATTTTCCGAGGCTTTTGTGCTCTTTATATTCGGACTTATATTAACCATTAGGTGCACAAATCGTTTAAAATCGGATAAAGATATATATGGGAGCTATATCCAAATCTGAACCGATCCCAATAAAATTCGGCAAAGGTATTTCTGAGCTGTATTTGATATATTTCCCCAAATATCGGACAAAAATAACAAATCAGATGAAACGTATATATGGGAGCTATAGTTATATCTGAACCGATTTTGATCAAATTTGGCATACTTATTTCCAGGCTTAATTTGGTCGAATGTGCGAAATTCCATACAATTTAACACGTTTGGTGCACAATAAAATGCAAATCGGACAAAGATATATTTGAGAGATATATTTAAATTTTGAGCGAATATCTCCAATTTCTGTAGAATTTGTCATTGGATCAAACGAATTTGAAAAAATTTCATCCGGATCGGGCAATAATTTTTTTTTATACTTAGTTTATAAAAATGCATGGACAGACGGACAGAATGACGGACGAACATGATTAATCGACTCAGAATGTAATTCTATGCAGGTCATCAAAAGGAACTAGGGGTCTATCCTGTTGCCTGTTACAAACAAATGCACAAAGACATGTATTTTCTAATTTTTTTAGATGGCGCCCAACGAATTCTTCAGATAAAATTTGCGCAAGAAAATATGTCGAAAGTAATTATTTCAACGGAAATGTTTCTGTTTAAAGTTGCTGAAATAGAACTCATTGATGGTCTACGTATTGGGGGGAAGGTCAAGATTTTTTTAGAAGGATCAAACAGTGAGAACCTTCTCGAAAACAAAGTAAGAAATAGTATTTTTTTTAAACCGAACCACACCCCTTTGATTTCTTGTAGAAAACATGCTCCCAACCAATGTTCCAGAATATTTCTACTGTGATAACCGATCATTCCTTAATAATATTGAAATAACAGCTTAAATTAATATGAAGTTGTGCAAATGTGCAAAAAAAACTATAAATACATGTCTTTTGTAAACTTTTTTGGATGGCGCACAAAGAATAAAATTCAAGTTTTTGAATAAAAATTTTGCAAATTTTTTTGGGAAATTTTTAATCCACCGTTGTTCCGGAGATCCCTGTACTTGAATATGCTTCAGAATAAAGTTATTGAAATATAACTTAGTAATGGTTTATATATTAGGGTAAGGTCAGGCATTTATGGTAAAGTAAATGATGAGAATCTTCCCGAAAATAAGAAGAAATCTTTTAACGAATCTAAAACGAATCTGTTATACTTCTTATGAAATTAAAAGATCAATGTTGAAATAAGTCAAAGTTGTTGTTCCATCCATT